ATCTATCTATCTATCTATCTATCTATCTATCTATCTATCTATCTATCACAAAATCTCCAGAACTGTAAAGCCTTGAAACTTGAAATTTGGCACCTATGTTCCTCTTGGCTTCTAGATGCTCAGTGCAAAAGGATTTTTCGAAATGACCATCATAGCATTAGTATTTTGTATATTATTATTAACATGCTCTGATACTAAGGTGTTCTACTCCCCTTCCCCACCTGCAAAACACAAGCAGAGGAGAGGAGTTTCAGTTTTAGTTTCACAGAGCAAGCAGTTTTACTACAGAACAGTTGAGTTAAGCCATACCCAGGCTCCTTGCTGTCTCCTTGCTCACAAAGCAAATATTGTTTCAGTTTCCCAACAGCCCTCAACTCTCTCACACACTGACAGGACACTAGCCAGAGGAATACCAATGGATGCTGATAGGCAGAGGCAGAAAGTTTTTCTCCTTATTTTCATAGTGAAGCATAGGCATCAAGCTAGTTATCATATAACTACAGTCTTTAAAATAATTCCCACAGTACTGTCTTATGTCTAAGTATATTTACCCATGTAGTATGGCTGTATTACTTTTATCCTTCTCATCTGTTCCACTGTCTTCTCTTATTGGTATCGTTATGATTATTATTACTTTGACATTTTCCTTATTATTACTTTGTTGTGTTGTATGTACACCGAGAGTTTATGCACCAGAGACAAATTCCTTGTGTGTCTAATCACACTTGACCAATCAAGTATTTTAATCTATATGTTGCTGAAAGAGCACATTTTCCCTATGGAGGGCCCAATAAAGATTATCCAGAACTTGTGCCATTTCAGTTTTAAGATGGGTCTGCATCTGGTAGCAATCCAGATAATTTATTTCTTCTGGGGTTTTCTGAAACCGAATCTCAACCATTTTCTCAGAAGTCTTCTTCCCAAAGGCTAGGTTGGAAACCAGACAGAACATATTGAAAATGATTTGATCCATCTTCAAGAGAAGACACACAACTTCATCTACATTATTCCCTCCTTCAAAGAAGCACTGACAATTTTCTTAATCCAGCCACTGACCTCCTCCCTGGCTGCCTGCAGAAGCCAGGTAAGACATGGGCCCAAATTTCAGATAGACAACTCATACTACAGAGAACACCATCCAGTTCCTATGGCTAAATAAGCACTGAAAAATCCTGGAATCAACTCAAGAGGCAGTGTTCTACCCTACTGGCATCCAGTCCTGAACAGATGCAAGGAAGACATATTTGCATGTCCCCCTCAATTCATCTTAAAAATGACTGGTTAATGCTTCTTGAATAACACTGCCACATGAAGCAGTAT